AGATTGATAACAAATTTCAAGGCTTTCCCTCTTTACGACCATAGGGTGTGGCTTTTGTTCGTGAAAGGCTGCAATGTTTGTCCATCTCTATACAAATATTCTGTCCTATGTTCTTCATCTATCTCCCCAACTGGAAGCAGAGTTGTTTATTACAAGATTTTACTTTTATGCTCTGTTTTTAAATCTTGCGTTAAGCTCCTTTTTTCTTCTTCTGCTCTATTATGAAGAATGCATGAACTAATTGCAATGTCCTCAAACATTTTCTTTAGTTATAAAAGATGCTTTCATGAATATCATAATATGGGTCTCTGTCGTTAAAAGATGACTTCATTTCTAATTAAGATAATGATGCTTATCTGCACCATTTACTTGATTATAGAACTTGTTTTTTATGTCTATGGGGATCCTTTTATTACATCCCTGAATAGATTTTACTCAAATAAGGGATTGTCATTTAGCCACACTATCTTGCGTTGTTTGCAGAATAGATTTGAGTGTCAGAAGGCCTGCAAAATTCAAGAAGACCTGTGTACTAAGTGATATGTACAACCATGGTTATGAAATGGATTTCACCACTTTAAAGTCTGTCAAGACTGATATAATTGACTATGAAGAAGTTGCCTCTCCTTCACTCTCATAACTTAATGTTGCTTCTGCTGATGATAACTTCGACGAACAGGATTTTCACGATGCGTCTCTCAAGGATCTGAGAGCTATGTTCTCCTGTTCATCGACGATGCAATGTACTTGAGCAATTACACATTCTCTGATTTTTTTTAACTATAGCCTTGCTTATGCTATGTTAGGAATGCAATGTACTTTAGGCAATGACATTGTCATATGAGAAATAAAAAATAAACACATTGGTGCCTTTAGGATAAAGGGCTGCTTCTCTCTGACTTGACATGGCTAACGGATTACCTTTAGATTTATGTGGTAGAAGTTCATTTGTTTATGGATTAGACAATATTCCATTAGAAGTTAAGCACTCTTGGCTATGCCTACAATTAATGTTACCGTTTTTGGTTTTCAGTTATGCACATACCTCACCTTCTATTTATTTATTATTTGTTGGGTGAACTAACAAGATATGATTATGAACCATATGTCGGGTGACAGTAGAGACATGTATTGAGCTTATGGAACATTGAGAAGTGTCGTTGCTGGAAAAGTGAGAAGAATGGCTACTTTTTATTGTTGCTTCTGTGACACTTCTTGACTTTTAGAATCTCATTGTTGAGCATCCACTATAGATATATGTGGATATAGAAAGAGATAGATTGATCTACTTTCAAAAATCAAAGAGAAGCAGGGAAACTGATTTTGCCTTATAGTCTCACGCCGAGATTGAGCACAACTATGTCTCGCTCATAGCTCATATCACAACTAAATGTTATCCTTTATGAATGCATATGTTAAATTTGTATTACTACTGATTTAGTATTACATGTTTGATCAAAACGTTGGGACCGGCACCCTCACGCCTTGGCGTGATCCCGATCTAGTTGATGGTGGTCATGGTGGCTGATGAGCCCTAATTCTCCGTCGACAGGAGGTTGCAGCTCTCGGCGTAGGCTGTTGTAGCTCCCCACGACGAGGTTGCAGCTTCTGGCGCCAGTAGTCCCAGGATCACGCAGCCGTGAGCATCGCCGTTGCATCTCGCCGTGCAGTGGCCGTCACAGCTCGCCATGGTCGTGGTTCCAGCAAGCCGCCATCGTCATCGCAGCTCACGGCGGCAAAGGAGGCTTGGACGGCTGCGCTCGCAAGCATATGTCGCCTGTCGCCGCAGGAGCTCGCCATCGGCCGCCATGGCAGGGTCACGCGAGACAGAGAAGCTTGAGAGAGGAATTAGATGGGCAGGGGCTTTTTCTCGTGAGGAAGAAGAGCGAGGGGACGCGTGAGAGGATAAGGTAAGCAGCGGGGAGCGTTTAGTACACACAATTCCTCATCGATCATGTGGCTCGTGTGCGACCGGCCCAATCTTCGGCCAGCGCACCCGGCACAAATGTTTCCCAAATAGGAAACACCGTTTTTTTTTCTTTTTTTGAGGCAAAATATGAAACGCCTCAAACTGGACATTTTTTTTAGGGGTAAAGCCAAATTTTATTACTCAAAGTCCACTGAGAGTGGGATACAAGACCGGTCATGGGGATCGCCAAGCCACACGTGGCGCCCCGGACCCCTTCTAAGAGAGTATTTGACTAGACTATGTGCTTCATAATTAACAGCACGACACTCAAAAGAAAAATAACATTGAAAAAGAGTAGACCTAAGATTGATTTCAGACACAATGGCTCCATACTTTCCTCTGCTTCCCGAGTTGATGTCAGCAACAACTTGCTTACAATCAGATGCAACTATGAAGTTGTTTATGAGAAGATCCTCTGCAAGACATATTGCTTCTCTGCAAGCCAACGCTTCCAATGACGCTGGGTCATCCACTCCCTCCAAAACAAGAGCTGAGCTCCCAAGATTATTTCCACTTGAATCACGGCACACCGCAGCGGCTGAACCGCCTCTCCCTGGCCTGACTGCTGCATCAACATGTATTTTTGCAAAACCCAACGGTGGTGCCTTGGGCCGACGAGGAACTGCTATGCCCATGCGTGCGACCGGCTGTGCACGAGTAGGCTGAAGCATTTTAAGCTCCTAACAGTACCTGGTAATGAAGTTCTGAACTGCTTGGGGACTCTGGAAGATTCCTTCGTGTATCGCCTTGCGTCTCGCGTACCATATTGACCATAGTGTGATAGAGATTAGGGCAAACTAGTCACGGGTTAATGTCTCAATGAGCGAAAATAGCCACTGATTCGCTTGCTGTTCGGTCACAGACATCATTTTATGTGCAAGATCTTCGTCCACCAAAACCCATATGCACCTGGACATTGTGCATTGCATCAGTGAATGTTTCCACGAGTCCGGCATTCCGCACAACCCACATCTGGTAGAGACCGACATGTGACGATGGGCATGCACATCCTCCGTGGGTAGGGAGTGTTTTGACAGACGCCGTAGAAACATCCGAACTTTGGCTGGTACGTCCGTTTTTCACAGCTTCTTCCACATCCCTTCCTCTGATTGTAGTGTTGAAGTTTCTGGAGCCCCCTCAAGCCAAGCCTCACGGCGCTGCTTTGTTTCAGATAACATTCTGTACGCAGACTTAACTGTAAAGACGCCCTTACTCTCGAAGTTTCAGCACCAGAAGTCATCTATATTGCGTGTGCAAAGAGGGATACTCAATATGACCACTGCGTCCATTGGCATAAAGACCTCATTCACCCTTTGCTTTCCAACTGGCCGAGGATGGATCTAACAATTCTGAAACAAGTTGCGGTGGATTACCAGAGATGCATCCATAAGGTCGCAACATCTCGTTTCTCAGAAGCCAGTTATTCCTCCATATATTGGTAGTTGCACCGTTACCAATCTGTCGGATCAAACCCTGTTTCAACACATCACGGCCTTCAATTAAAGATCTCCAGATCTGGCTCGGATGTCCCCGCGAAGCTTGAAGAATGTCACTTGTTGCCTCAAACTGGACATGGAGCAACGAGAGATGAGCCGTGCCCAATGCGACCCACGGGCCAGCAACGCAGCCCGAGTCGTAGGGTCACCGACCGGCCCGTTCGTGAAGGCTGAAATGGGTCGGCGGTTGGCAAGCGGTGGTTGTCAGCCAAAAAAAATGTCAGCTAGTGGGACCCTCTCCGAGAAAACGGGTGGCAAAAAATCTGCTCGCTGCCAAGCACGACGGAGGAGGAGAAGAGCAGGCCCCAACTCCCAAGCGGCGCCCAGTGAGCAACGACCGCGAGCTAGCTCGATTCCGCTCCGCTCCGGTTCGATTCGATTCTGCGGCATCCTCCTCCCCGTCAAACCAGTCCCTCTCCGTCCCTGCTCGGTTAGCCCCGTCCATCGAGTTCCTCTGTCGTTTCTGTCCGTGTTCTTGTTGCTTAGGAATTAGGAGATGAGGTTGCGCTGCGGGAGAAGCGCGCGACGAGGATCGGTAGTAGGTCAGCAGCCACCGCTCCTGCTATATATGCTAAGCCGCCGCCAGTGTTTGTGCGATGTTGCCGGCTTATTAGAGCATCTCCAATAGCTGCTGCCTGTTGGTGTCTTGTTGTGGCGTCATGTGCTTCTCCTGAATCTGTTGTACGCTTAGCTGAAGAAACGTGCAGTTTTTTTTAGAGTAGTATTTTGGTCTGACGGCTTCAACGCTTTTCTTTAGCGCAAGTGCTTGACTGATGAGCTTATGTTGAAGTGTGCTGATTTTGCACTATCGAAATTGGGAAATACTCCCTCCGTTCCAAAATAGATGGCTCAACTTTGTACTAACTTTAATACTAACTTTAGTATAAAGTTAGTACAAAGTTGAGTCATCTATTTTGGAACGGAGGGAGTAGTACGGATGCAAGATTCATTGTTTGTTCTTGCTTACTATCTGATCATAACTTCGACCAAGCAGAGAACATGTACGCGCAGAATAAGTTATGTGATAAGACTCATGGTATCACGCTCAGTTGCTTTGGCTACAACTTCTAGCTCTGAATATCTCCTTCATAGGACATTGCTAAACCGATCCTTCCAAGCTGTGTAATGCCGAGCTGAGCTGTTTGTAAACTTAATTAGATCTGTTTGACAGTTAAGTACCTCCTTTCTTAAAAAGGGAACAATTGAACTATTGTAGGGAGAAAGCACGTGCTCTTTGGGTTGGGTTGTTATTTTCAGTTACTCGTAGCACATTCCATAATCATTGGTAAACATATCTCGCTCTTGTCACCGCCAGTGTTTGTGTGCTAAGCCGCCGCCAGTGTATGCTTTTACCAGTGTATACGAATCTTGCATCCATAAGCATATATAACTCTTATCAGTGTATGCTTTTACCTACTCGCCCGCTCACATCATTTTTTTTTTTGGAACTTCTTCAGTCTCCAGAAGCAAGCTTTGGAGCTACATATCAATGAGCATTCGGAAGGAGAATTGACATACATATAGCAGTTGAAAGGATGGGTTATGGCATGAGTAGGCTACATGAGGGATACAGTGAGCCTGAAGGGCTGAATAGTGATGGATCTAGTTCAGTCGAAGTGAATAATGATTTCTCAAAGTTACACAATGATATTTTCCATATGACTCGACTAAGATCAGGACCTAGTGAAAGCATCCGCAAGTCCATGGATAGAGTCTCAGTGACTAGGTTGTTACGTGGAAGGGAAGTTAATTCTTCAGGAAATGGAAAGTTCTCTCCGGTTGATCGTGCATTCGTTCTTGGTCATTATCTTCCAGTGGATGGTCCTGAAACGGTGGATACAATGGATTCACGAGCTTATGTTTCACAGTTTTCTGCCGATGGTTCTCTTTTTGTTGCTGGTTTTCAGGTATGCTATGCTCTAATGCAATAGTAGAGGTTTTACTAAGCTCTATAAGCACAGGTAAAATTTCCTGAAATTTTACGATGTCCTAATCGTCCTTTTGTTTTCATTATCAGGGAAGCCACATAAGAATATATGATGTCGATAAAGGTTGGGAAATACACAAGGACATTCATGCTAGAAGTTTGAGATGGACAATTAGTGATGCAGCGTTATCACCTGATCAAAGGTTCCTTGTAAGTTAACTAAAACTTAACTAGTAAGATCTTTGTCTTATCTTTCAGTTCATCTTAATTTCCCCCTAACTCTATATGCATGGGCTCAGTTTTGGAAACGTGTAGTTCTCTAGTACAACTTTTATCGATTCATGCAGTCAATCTCTTTCATTATTCTTATTGAGAGGAAATGCATGCATGACATGCAATTGCCTTGAACCGAAGAGGATGAACTGAAGTTTATAAGGTATCTGATTTGGGGAACAAGGCTAGTGCGGGTGTGCTTTTAGTTCTTACTGTACTAGTAGTGGAAACATTGTGAGGGTTGGAAAACAGCACTTGATGTTTCATCTGAGCTATTGTCAATAGGTTGATAAGATAACTCCAGTAGCTTTAGTTCGAATCTGATCTTTCTGGTTACCAGTGCTAAATTGGAACATATTGGAAAAATGGATAGTTAGTTCTTTCTATCTGTATGGTATTATTGTGTAGCCTAACTTCATCGGTTACCTGTTCCCTTTATCTTCCTTTTCTGCATGCAAAGTTGGATTTGTGAACTTTCTTATGACGTATCAATCTGCAGGTCTACTCTAGTCTGGCACCCATTATCCATATTGTCAATGTTGGTACTGCTTCAAGAGAATCATATGCTAATGTCACTGTGAGTTCTCATGAAGATTTGCCCTTCTGCAGGAAAAATGGCATTTTTTCTCTGTTGAGATAGTGCCACCCTTGTCCTATTTTATGGTTATAATTTTTTGATATCTTCAGTACTATGGAAATATACTACTTTATGACTTCAGGCATTTTAAGTTTACTTTGTGATTCAACAGGCCCACTGCTGATTTAATATTTACTTAATCGTCCTGTAGCACATCCACATGCATTGGATTGTTCTCTGCACAAAGATGCTTGATATGCACTTCAAATACTTTTCTGTTAAACTATTAATGCCGCTTACGTCTTTCTGCAGGACATCCATGATGGATTAGATTTTTCAGAGCATGAAGATGTTAGATATTCATTTGGACTCTTTTCTGTTAAATTTTCCACTGATGGGCGGGAGCTTGTTGCTGGCAGTAATGATGATTCAATATATGTCTATGACCTTCAGGCCAACAAAGTGACATTGCGTTTGCCTGCCCATACAGTATGATGTTATATTTTCTCTTGGGTTGTATCTTCTTTCATCTTTGTCTGATCACATTTTTTGGGTTTCTTATCTCACTGGAAGTGATTAGTAGTCCAATGATCTTAAGTTGGTTGTGCTATCTTACCAGCCAAGTAACTTCATCCATACTTTGTCCAGATATGATTTCTTTTTTATTTCCCATGAAGTGGGCATGGGTGACAACTGAGGTAGTTATACCCCGAAAATTGATCTAAACTCTAAAGAAAAATGATATGGTGATTTTGAAGATGGATAATGGTATTAATAAAAAATATTTGGTGGGCAGAAGGTGTGGAAACTCTCATTTGGTTGATTTCTCAGGTGTAAATGGCACTCCTTGTCGGGGCTGCAAAATTTGGCAGCCATCAGCCGACATCAATTTAATCTCTGACCTTTTTATATGGGTCCGCCATGGTTTGGCCAATTTTTGACAGGACATGTCGCTGCACCTAACCAAGCATACTATGTACCTTCAATGTGTCTCTGACGATATTTTGTTACCATTTTTTTTATTAAAGAGGTTTTACCTACCAACTTAAAAGAACGTACAACTAAACCATTGGCATTGCTCTTTTAAATGCAACACCTGTGTGCTCACAAATTTTGTTCTAGAAACTATGCTTGGATACCAAACTGACTTGGCTAAGTCAACTGATTGATTATTCTTTTTTACTATGATTCATGTATAAAAAGCTAGGAAGTTCTCTGCTCCAGTCAGGGAATTTATCCTTGGATTTTTAATAATGACTTGATAAAATCTTCCTTTTTTTTGCAATCCAGTGGCAACAGTATATATTTTGGAAGTATCATGTTGGATTATCAGGAGCAGATGAAAATTTGCAGCCTTAACATCTTGCTCTACTGGTTTGTTGGGCACAGGCACACTCTGTTTTGCTCTTTGTTCTGAAAAACAAACTCTCCTAATACTTGTTCGAAAAATAAACTAGGCATGTATAGGAAATTTTAGCTAGCCTGGAAACTTAATATTACCTCTGTTTCTAAATATAAGACGTTTTGGCAGTTTAGATTGAACACAGTTTGAGATGCATATAGATTATCATAGCAGCAATGCAATTGAATCCTTGCTTGTTTCCTTTATGGATTGTTTGCATCTCAGAAATCTTTGTGTAATAAATATTTGATATGTTAGTTGATAGTGTAATTGATTTTCTTTTTACATTTCAGTCTGATGTCAACACAGTAGCATTTGCTGATGAATCTGGTAACCTACTTTATTCTGGAAGCGATGATAACTTGTGCAAGGTAGCTTACTATTATTATTTTTTTTACGTGATTGCTTTTTCCTGGCAACATTATGTAATTTCTTCTGTATTAACGTATTTGGCTGAATTGCTATTCTCATATTTCCTGATCGTATCTGAACATATAAAGTGTGAAGGCTTTTTATGTTGCAACCCTCCATATTGCTGAATGACTGTACATGCTTGGATATTTTTGTTTCCAGTAGAGTAGCAGATCACTTGTCATGATTTCTAAAAAAATAAAGAAATAAAAGATTACATGCCATGAAGCTGATGATGTGCCGGCTAATATTCCTTAGCATTTTTTCACGGCCTTTTCTTATACCTGGAAATATGCTTTGGCGAGTGCATAAATAAAATGAGATGGTTCAACAGAACATGTTGGACGTCATTATCCTAACTTATATTTTTTGTTACTCTACTCCAGTATTATTGCCTACCTACCGTTTTTCACAGTACCGCTGCCCTGATTCTTAATTCTCAAATAAAGAAGTAATCAAATTGAATTCTTACTAGTTCTGATGTTGCAATAGCATTAGTTAAGCATTCATTTATTTATTTTTCTTATCTTTCTGGGAATTTTGTTTATATTTCTTAGGGGATTGCCTGTATCGCATCGATACAATCCTGTTATTGAGCTACCAAACGTGTAGTTTAAAAATGGTTGCACCATTCTTTTTGTTACCTTGAGTACCGGAGAAGCAAGTACCTAGTAAATCATCAATTAGAGATTACTACATGCCTTTTACCCTAGGCATCATATATGTTTATATTTTAGTAGTGGACAACAGGACAAGCACCTATAATTCATTTGTCAAGAATTCCTATGTGGTTTTGCATTAGGTGCCAACCTTTGTGTTAGCTAAGTTTGAGGTTTCCTCTGGAACACGAATAAAAATTTATTCTTAACTTCTTTTCATTTTAGAAACTTTGTAGTATGTGATCCTGGTAGCCTGTCTTCAGGTCTGGGACAGACGTTGTTTGTCCACAGGGGAAGCGGCTGGGGTTTTGACTGGACATCTGCATGGCATTACTCATATTGACAGCCGTGGAGATGGTCGATGTTTCATATCAAATGGAAAAGATCAAGCTATTAAGATGTGGGACATCCGGAAAATGACATCCAATGCTGATGGGTATGTCTTAAGCAACAGGCAGTCTGCTTAGTCCACTTTTTTGTTGCTCGGATTTGGACATATTGACTTACTGCAGAGCTATACTGATCCTATTGTTTGATACAGTTCCGAAAACAGAGTCCCTGCCTGGGACTACAGATATTCAAGATATCCACAACAGTACAAGCAACAAAAGCATCCACATGACCAGTCAGTAGCTACATACCGGGGCCATTCAGTTCTCCGTACATTGATTCGTTGCTATTTTTCTCCCACATATAGGTACATACTGTGACTGCTCGGGAACTTGGCATCATTTTTTTTCAGATTATATGTAGTGGATATGTGCTAATGGCCTAATACCCTGTGCTTCGTACAGCACAGGACAGAAGTACATATATACAGGATCTTATGATGCTAGTGTCTGCATCTATGATGTGGTACGTCTCTATTCAACATGCATGGCAGCCCATTCAAGTTCTTTTGTTCTTGTCATCAACACGATCTCCTGTATACTTTCTTCTCTAAATATATGTTACAATTTCTTTAAACATAATGACGAGAAACTACTCTTGATGAGAAATTTAGGCTAATTTCATGTAACAAATCTGGACGCTTTTATGTCCATTTTCTTAATCAAAATTTTAGAAGGTTGATTGCACACATTCTACGGCTGTAAAAAGTGATGGAGAAGATACTTGAAGTACCATTCATTGCACACAGTCTACGGCTGTAAAAAGTGATGGATAACATACTTGAAGTACAATTTCTTGGATGCATTTCCTTTTACTTGTTCTCTTTCCTGTTCAAACAAAATTCAACTTTTTCATGTTAATCCAGTGGCAATTTTTTATTGTTCTACAACCAGAATGCCATATGACAACATTACTACGTGAGTGCGTGTATGGATCTCATACATAGGCACATGGTGTAGACATGCCTCTTGAATTTGAAATGTGACACTTCACACCTAGGTACTCCCTCCGTATCAAAATATAAGACGTTTGTTGACACTATTTTAGTGTCAAACAAACGTCTTACATTTTGATACAGAGGGATTAGCTTTTAGCCACTCTTGGATTAACATATATCTTTCAGTGAGGTGCCATGGCCGTGCGACCATACATGAATAGTCACAACCAAATGCAGACCAAACAATCCACTTTTGCTCCTTTCACTTATGAGAAATTGAACTACTAGTTCATTTTACTTTTCATGATTTGCAAAGGCTCTTCCAACATATTTTATTATCCTTGTTCCCATGTTCAGGTAAGTGGGTCGCAAGTTGCCAAACTGCAAGGACATCATCATTTGGCAGTTCGAGACTGCAGCTGGCATCCGTCCGATCCAATGCTTGTCAGTTCATCATGGGACGGCCAGGTTGCCAGATGGTCCAGGACTCGCTCCAAGCAAGATACTTGTGAACTCGATTAAATCGAGTGTGCAGATACTTCGCGTGCCCTGTAATCTTCCGATATCAGGTGCAATCTTGGGTCAAAAGGGATACTCGGCACGGCTTGACAAAACAATAGAAAATGAAAAGGAACTCTAGCTATGATGTACATATAAAATGGAAGCCAAGCCAAGTGCATATGTAGTAGTATTTCATTACACCTTCGGAGAAGGTAACGAAACAACCTATCCTTAGATGGTGCATACGTGTATACGTCCTTGGTTGTTTTTGCTCTTCCGGTGAGCAGTTGCAGCTCATCCTTTCAGAAGCAGAACTGTTTGTACTTCGTGAGAGAAATTTGTTGCAGCAAAAGCACTGTATATTTGTACCTATACTACCTGTACTTTGCAAGAAATTTCTCGCAGCTAGAGGTAGTCGTGGTTTCGTATTTTCCTTATCTTTCAGTATGTTAAGTTGTCATTGCACAGCAGTAGGGACGCTTGAACAAAGCAATCCGGAAGGAAAAACTTTTCGCGCAACATGTTCTCCGTATTTGCAACTATGTTGTTTCTGTACTCTCGTTTGGCATTTGTGCTTCATCCTTTTAACAGCAGAACTGTTTGAAGCAGAAATATGATGCATAAAAAGTTTGGCAGGTGTTTCCCGCCTTACTGAATGTGACTATAGTTCTGTGGATGCTTATAATAAGTTACTGTACATTCAGGCGTTCATGATGAGTAACTTGCTATATTATGAATGTTTATATAGTGGACATGAATTTATCTTATGGGCTTATGTGACTATAGTTGAATGCGTAAGAGGATATCTACTGGGTTGCACATTTTAGAAGAATTGATATATCATGTGCAATCTAAACTATATTCTTTGATGCGCAGGATTTCCAATGATATGATAGCTACAAACACAATACTGAAGTGCCATACGTCTGAATCCTATGGGATCATAATTTCATCATATCAAAACCAGTTAACCAGGTGATGTTTTCTCCAATGGACATGTAATGTATAATCATATAAAGCAGATGACATGTAAACTTGGAATGGATCAGAGCCTCTTTGATCCGCAGTATAGCGGACGTTTGACTTCCATGATTGACCTTTTTTTATTGAGTCAATTACACTTGTAGTGCTAGAACTTTGGCACTTTGATGCTAGAAGTTGTGGTGTACAGATGCAAAAACTTGGCTTTGATGTGCAAATACAATGCTTATCTCGTTTGTATACAGAATTGGCGATGATTAGACGTGTGGGACCTGCTGTCAGCCACTGGACAGGGAGGAGGGGGCGTGTGGCCTGGTTTTTCCAAAAACACCCTCGAATTTTCACAAAAAAAGTCCACGTTCATGTGGGAGCGGTGACATTCTTTTACCTATATGATAGGGGGGCCTGCATGTCAGGCGAGAGTGAAAATTAAACAAAAAAAATACAGAAACTTCGGCCGGCAGCTCTCGAACCCAAAACGTAGACAGCAAAAGCAAGCCGGCTAGCCCCAACTACCGCATCGTTCGCTTTGTTAATATGGACTAGTTTAATGTCCGTGCGTTGCTACGGGTGAACAGAAAACATAGTGAAGCACGATTGTTTTAATTCCTATAACGATAAATTAATTATTTATTTCGCTTCTTTCTTCGTTTTCCTTAACCACTCCCATATAGATACATAGATCTGACAGAGCACAATCACATCTGATGTAGGGCGGAACCCTAGGAGCCGATCTTTCACGTTTGGAGAGGATCCCTACGAGGAGAACGAAGAACGCGAGAAGGGGAACGAGGGAAATCATGGGGAAACACAAGAGGAAAACACTCAACCAACGAGAATATGATCACACATGTGCTAGATCCAAGAAACACAAAGAGATACACGGTCCAAATCCAACAAAGGACGATACAAATGGTGGTAGTTCATCTCCGAGAGGACGTCTTGAATCCGCGAGGGATCTTCCCGTAAAGGGGTCTTGAATCCAGGTGGATCTTCTCTGAAGAGGCCGCGGTCTCTCACGAGGAGGAGATTTGTATGGATGAGCAAAGCTCTATCTCAAATGAGCTAAACCAATGCTAACCCTCACTAGGAGGAGGGGGTGGTCTATTTATAGTCTAAGACACGAAGGGGTAAGTGGGAAAGGGTTACATGGGCTTCGGCCCGAGTCTTTGCACGCAGGCAGGCCGGAAGTTCCGGGCTCCGGAGGTTCCGGGCAGGTTCCGGGCTATCCAGAGAGTTGGCGCGCTCGGGGTTGGTCTGGACTCCGGAGGCCGGAGGTTTCGGGTAGGCCGGAAGGTCCAGGGGCCGGAAGTTCTGGGCTGAGGCCGGAAGTTCCGGGCTTTCCAGAAGCGTGTCCCTGCTTCTTCTTCCTTCTCATCTTCCATGCTTGGCCTTGGTCCTTGGATCCTCCATGGTCGTCTCGGTTGTACCCGAGTATATGCAAGGCCCATGCATGAGGTAGTAGCCATGTCTCACATGTGGAAAGTGACGGTTCGAAGAGGAGTGAATTCACCTTGTGTCCAATGGCGTATGTTTGAGGTCTCGTCATATGTCCTCTTGGGGCTTGGAGAGTAGTCGGAGTGTACATGGGGATGAACGTGGGATGCTCCGCATCATCTCCCCCCCCCCCTTGGGAAAGATCCGACCTCGGATCGTGATCCTCATCACCATGGAAACGATTGTCGTGGACGGACTTGTAGTTGGACGTAGTTGAAGGCATGGCACAATCCAAGTACTCCAAGGTGTCGCCGGAGTGATATACATGAAAAAGGAGCAAACACAAACAACACTCGGAAATACAATGGTTAGCACACACAAAGTGTCCATCATGTAAGAATGAGTTCGTTGGGCAAGATTGTGCATGACAAAGCACATGAAGCTTATCAAGATGATCTAGAATGATATGCAAAGCATTCATGGGAGGAAATGCAATCATTGTGCATACAAATGTGTTGTGAATATGATCAATGCAACCACGATGCAAAATGATGTCATAGTGAGACGGTTTATCAATAGCATGAATATGGCAATGGATGCTCAACATGTGTATGTAATCATGCAATTGATGGTAGGCAATGTGATCATTATGTAGGAATATGCCATCAAGGAAGATCACAACAAATTTTCTAAGGAAATGCACAAGCTCAAATATCATGGATGACATGGGAATACAAGATGCAACAAGGCAATCATTATGTGCGTCAATCCATGCATGGGGTGCAAACTTGTGGTGAGTATGATATGTCCATCGAGCATGACATGTATGAGCACAATCAACAAATATGGAGGTGTTAGTATACCAATGCTCGATGTCGTGGCACGAGTGGAGGTTCGAAGGTGCATCCAATAAGTGCGAGCGCTCCTCAATTTGAAGGTTCATAGAGCCAATCTCCAATGCCGCTCCTCCATCCAATAGATGTAACATGTACACAACAGGAAGGAAACAATAATGAAAGAGTGACCCATCCAATATACGTATTTGAGGATGGCTCAAAGAGAAGGAGTTCACCTTTATGAGGGTGTCGAAAATGTTGGTGTCACACATCGTGTATGCCTTCACATGACCAAGTTGTCTCATTATGGTTTCGCCTTGTGAATCCTTCAAAACGAAAGAACATGGCAAACACTCGGAAAAACAAATGAGGTTAGTGCAATTGCAACACCTATCATTCATGAGGTAAGATACCCAACAAGTGTATGCATCATGCTCATCATAAGAAAGGACAAGGGAATTTGGCATGGTATGTAAGCATATGATGCGATAACAACCAAAGGCAATAGGTTCAAACAAACAAGCATGCATCACAAGTAAAGTGTCAAAGTCTCCAAGATGAAGAAGCATAGTATGGTTGCACTCAATACAAGTGGATATGAGAGAGGCAACTAATGGAGGCAAGTGACAATGAGCAAGATATATCATGTGAGAGGCATGAACAAATATGTTATCAACCCAAGAAAGCGAGTAATAGTGGAACATGGGTGATGCAACATAGCAAGCAATCATAGCGATCAAGTCAAGCAAGCTAGTAATGCAAAGATGCAACATACTAGATGGAATCATGGCAAGCATGTCATGTGTGCAAATAGTGTGCATGAATAATGGACATGACATATCACAAGTATGAAAGCAAGAGATGAGAAAAATAGAATGAATGTATTGGTGAGAAGCCATATGTAAATAGCAATGGGGCATCATGACTCTCCCAACACCACAATCAACAATAGCATGAAGCACATAGTAAACATGGCAATAGCAACAAGGATCTCCACCAAGCATGCAAATACACATAGAAGTAGCAGAATGGTGAATCATGGGTAGATGCAAGCAAGGGTCACAATTGCATGGCAAAGGCATAGGAACAAAAATAACATGCAAAGTGAACACGGTAAAATGAGCATAAGGTGATAAGTGATATATAGCCCATAGCCGTGTGAGAGCCAAGTATAAGAGATGCGCGTAGTTGTTGCGTGAAGGGAACGGTGGTAAGGATAGTCCACGGGATCCCAAAGCGCCGTTGCTCTCAAGAGCTCGTTTTCTCAACTCTTGGGATTGAGAGGTTGACGAGTATATGTGAGTACCTACACAAAACAAAGGCAAAGGAAAAATTGTGTGTGCGTGGTATATGTACACAGCATCCATCATGATGCGCACGTGCATGTGTCGGTTAGCACAAAACAATGCTCAAATAAATGGGATGCACGATATAGAAACATGTCATCCATCATGAGAGGTTTGTTGTTATGCATGACATAATGGAGACTCAAAGGATGTAATGTATCATGAGAAATATCTAGAGCATTGTTATTCATGGAATGCATATGGTGCACGCAATTATGGGAATCATGCAAAGTATGAAATGCATCAAGATCTCCTAATATGTATGAGGAAACTATGGGGGTCTCCTCATGAGCATGAGTAGCAACATCACATGGAGAATATTGACAACATCCAAAACAAAGCATATTTGGTTCAATGTGATCATGGCATGGCATAGTAGATGTGCGCAAATCATGTAAAGAAAGCATGGCAATATCATCAC